CATATCCATCACCATAATGAGACTGCCCCATGTCATCTAATTCTTCACAATGTTCCACCACCAGAAGTTCCAAGATAATTATCTGGAGCCACTGCTACTTCAGTTGAAGCAATATTAGGCATGTCCCCATTAGAATAATCCAACAAAAGGGAGCTGAAGCCATTGATATAAGACTTTTCAATTCTATCTTTTTCATCAGCATTCATGAAGAGAAGCTCCTCCTCATTTTTGAAATTCATTAGTGTATTGGACAACTCTACCAAATAATCATTTGGGCTAAAAGTTGATTTCTTTGAGTTGTCACATGGCATTTGATCTTTCTACTTGCAATCCATGTGGACAACATCATATCCTGAAGTATTGGCCTTATCCATATTGCTATCTTTAGGAAGGGCAAATGTATCCTCCATGTCATGTTCATTCACTCTCAGGTGAACATCAGGAATAGTAAGGGCGGAAACACCCTCACATGTTCTCCAGATTGGCATCGGGGGTAGTGGAGAAGCATACCCCGAGTTGTGTAATGATGCGCCACAATCTGAAATTGGTGAATTAAATATCTGGCTTCCTCTAAATTCGGAGTACAAATTTTCCCCATTACCAATGCTTTCAAACATGTTAGAGACTGGCACTTTTGGTTGACCTAATTCCTCAAAACCAGAACAACTCATAGCAAGAGGGCCATTCTCTCCAATAGTACAAGGAATTTGTTCAAGCATATTAATGTGCGCCATGCGAAGATCCTCTTCAACTGCTCTAAATTCTGGAAAGAAACAACATGTTATATCAAGATTTGAGTCCTCTAATCCAAAATTATTTGAGATTGGATCTCCAAGAATGGAATTTGCAGAAGCGTGTTGATCTCCATTTCCAACGATGGATTCAAAGGCTTTAACACATCACTGGCCAAACAGTGCATCGCTCTTATTAAGTACATCTACCTGCCAAAAAATAAAAACTGAACCAATTACAGCATGCAAAATGTAATGAAGAGCGACAAAGAAGCAGTGGACTCAATCTCCGAGTGGCGTTCCGAAACTCGTAGTTGAACCTTTGTCGAGTCTGAGTGAATACGCGGGCGTCCCATCCTCCATGAACAACCCGAAATTCCTCTCTAACGTCGGCCCTAGCTTCATGTTCTTATTAAACATATACACATGTTGAAGGTCACCCCATGTGAAAGGGGTGATCCTCATGTCAACAAAGGAAGACAACCAACCAAGTCAAGCTTGGTGGCCACCAACCATGTCAAAAGTCAAGAATGAAGGCTCTCCCACCTACTCCTTTGTGTATAAATAGAGACGGGAGGGAGAGGATGAGATACAGATCAGAAATTAGAGAGTGAGAGCTGTGAGTTGAGTGAGTTTCATCTCCTCATCTGTATTTTGTATTTTGCTCCATTTTAGTGAAAAATTCTCATTTCTGTCCGTGGATGTAGACATTGGGCCGAACCACGTAAATATTGTGTTTCCTGTGTGTGTGAGATATATTTCTAGGTGTGTTTGATCCTAACAACACATTCATCTTCTTTACGTTTCTTATGCTCTGCTTTTATTACATCGGAATCATTGGGTTTTCGATCTGGTAGTGTTGATAGCTTTGGAGCAAGAACATAACAAATTTTCAAAGAAACGTCAACTTGTCTTGGAAATGAGTAAAATGTGTTCCATCAAACTTGTCCAGTTTCACGAACTCTTGATTTATCACTTTAAAATTGTTAGAACAGCAGGTCAAAAGAAAAACATAATCAACCAAAATGTGACTTTGAGGCGTGTTGCAGACACTTTCTTTAAGGTGATAATTGCCCCCACTCAAAAGAGTTTGCTTTATGAGAGAACACAACCTTTAGTTTATTTTTTCAGAATTTGAAAATTCTGAAAACATGTCTTTCAACTTGAAATGGTGCCTTTATAATTTGAATTTCTATTAGTAACTGCCTGCAACTATAAGTAATAACCACTTAAAGAGTTATAATCCAGTGTATCACCATATGATCTTGATCATATATAAATACTGATATTCTTATGCATACAGGTATCTCTCAATTTAAACCTGCAAATGGTGTAAGCATTTCAAAATTCTAATGAATTCTTTGGTGTCTGAAGATTAAATCAAGAGTCATATTTATTGGTACCAGAAAAACTACAAACAAGAGAACATCCAATTTCAGCAAAAGTTCACCAGTATAGTTAATTGCACTTTTACATCCATGTGCACAATCCTGGCCTTCATGAACAATTTACAAAAACAAATTGTAAACATTTGCTAGAAATTGCAACACTTCTTATGTTCACATAAGTGAAGTTCCTGTGGTGTCCGTGTTATTAGAACCCTTTATACATGATCAGTAATTTGTCTTAAGATTGTTAAAAAAATAGTACCAAATTATATGAAAAATATAATTTAAAATTATGCAAATGATTTTTGGGCAAAACAAAAACTGAAATAAATCCACACAATGTGATAAAACTTATAGTTCATAAATCGATAAAATCTGATCGAGTTGAGTGTGTGACACTCTCTCCTTAAGATAGATTCGTCCTCCCACCGGTGCTCAGGATTTAATGGACATCTATCTCCTAGGATACAACGATCAATGTCTTGTACTAGCAGCACTAATATTGTAAGCCTAGCGAACATCACAGTGCATGTACTATTTTACAGGAAAATTAGACTCAGGAAATATGAAGAGTAAATGCAAAGTGAAGAAGAAAATGACAATTCTATATTTAAATTGAAGTGAGGGAGATGAAATTTATAGACTTATATGTGACTCTTCAGAAATGTTGTGACCCTTCAAAAGGACACACCCTTTCATTTCAAGAGACACAACCATTGGAGTAAATTTTAATTCAAATTTTCCAACACTCGTATGATCCCTTGCCATGTGCGTCGTCGTCTTTCGGTCCAGCCAATGGGATTGATGTTATTTATTTTTTAAAATTACAATGATTTCTCATAAAATTTTAAAAAATATAAGTTTTACAATTTTAATATAAAGCAAATGCTAATAAATATCTCATGGGCATTGTTTAATATTGAAAGTGTGTCAAAAGTCTCTCAAAAATATGTAAAAATGTAATATATATATATTGATTTCAGTAAAAATATATTGAATTTAATAAAAATTGTCTTATATTTTTTAATTTGTTTTCTTTTATTTGTGTCCTAAGGACACTTATTAACATGACCCTTAATATATAACAGAGCAATTGTAACAAAATGATATAAACTTAAAATAACTACAAAAATGTAAAAGTACATGATTAAATTGTATAATCTAATGAATGAATTGCTTGTACTTTTATAACATTACAATTATTTTAATTTGATACCATTTTTTTTGCAATTTCCCCTAATATAATTACAATTACCTTTCTTAATAAAATTAAATCCATCCAAACTAATAAATATTGTACGACAAAATTAGAATAAACAAAATATATATACATTTCAAATAAAAGAGATGAAAATAATTTATTATTTATATAACTTATTAATTATTGATGAAAAAAATTAAATGGGATGTGAATTAAAAATTTTATAATAGCTTAACGTAATTATGTTAAAATAGTAAATTTTAGGGAAAATTAGTCTAAGGTCCCTCTCCCACTTTTAATAATAGAAGAGATCCACAATATTATTTTATGATGTCTAAAGTCCTTCAATCCCAAGCTCATATATCACAGAGAAATTTAAGAAGAAACGAAAGGGCTTCAAAAACTGAGTTTGGTCCCTCTCTGCTCTCTCTCTCTCTCCTACATCAATCCCAAACCCTAGCTTCTTCCTTCATCCTCGTGAGCTTTCTCAGAGCCATCAAACCTTGTTCTTGCTCAAACGCGTCCAGACTTTTGAGCTTCACAACGAACTCTTCGTCCTCAGAGATCGAATTAGGGTTTAGCGTTTCATCAGCAGCGATCTCTGATAAAATTTTGGCTCAAATTCCAGGTTGAACGGAAGCAGCCGCAGCAGCTGCCACCTATTGTTGGTTCATGGGGAAGATAAAAACAGCTGGTCCATGCATAAGTATATATTTTTCAAATCCGACATTGCAGAGAGAGAGAGAGTTGATCAGAAGCTTGCTGCTATGGTTGCGCGTGGTGTTAAGGTTGGTGTTGGTCGATGCTTCGCAGTGGTGCTGGCTCGGTGCCGAGGGAGAGAGAGTTGTTTGTCCATAGCTTCTAATGGTACAGATGTTTTTGCTGGTGTTGCTGGATATTCTCCTCTGTGATGTTGGTACTGAGGATCACCTCTTGTGGCATCCTGATTGCAACACAAACACATATATATCACAAGTGATCAGGATCTTTTAATTTCCTACCGCAAAGCTGATTCAGATGATCTATTATCAGAAAGAAATGGTAAATCACGATCACCCGAACTGAATTTTCTCTGGGTTGAAACTGGAGAAATTCTCTGATTTTTGAACTAAATTTTCTTTGGGTTGGTTCAGAGAAATTCTTTGGTTTCGAGCTGGAACCTGGAATGCTTAATTTCTCTGGAGAGAATTTCTCTAGAAAATGCCAGAGAAATTCCCATAATTTGCTTGACATCAAGAGTGAAGGCAAGCAAAGCAACAAATCACAGAGTTATTTGTGAGAAAATTCAACCCTAGAGAAAATTCAAAACATAGAAAATCAAAAAAATTTCTCTAATTTGAAATTTTTCTGAATCAAATTGAGGAATCTTAGACATTATAAAAATATTAAATATCCTTTATATTATAAAGCCTTGGGAACCTAAAAAAAAAATCCATTAAAATTTATTATAATTTGAAAAAGTTAGTATAATTTATCAAAAATGATTTGGACCACTAAAAAAGGACCTCTAATGCATCTCTAATTTGTCTTTTTCTTCCCTCTTTTTTGTCTTTTACTTTACTATTTTTTTTATTTTTTTATTTCTTATTTTTTTTAAGGTGAGCCCTAACCCATAATTTATTTATTGAATTCATTATTTTTACTTTTATGGTAGGCCTACAAAATAAATACTCATTCTTGTGCTCTGCCATGTCGAAGCCCACTCAAAACCGTGTGCTTTTTCTCAGTCTTTTCTATTGCAGCGAAAGCGTCCACTCTCTCTCTCTCTCTCACCGTTTCTTAAATCAAACAGTTCACAGAACTTTCTTTCTGATCTTCCTTTAACCAACGAAACAGCTCCGATATACGCAGAAATTAAGTATCAAAGTCGTTGCTTTCACAATTGATAAGGTATGGGATGTTGATCCAGATTCATTGCCTCATGCGTCTTTTTTTTTACTTTTCAATTTATTTATTTTTTTTGGGATTCTTTGTGTGCTCTTAGTGGTTTACATTCTTGGGCTTATATTAGTTTTTTTGTGAATCCCATTTGTGTTGATTGATTGATTAGCCGATCATTAAGGTCCATTTTGTGCTAGTTTGTTTTTAATTTTTTTTGCTTCATCTTGCTCTTTTGTTGGTTTTGATTTCTGGTACTTGGATCTTCTTGTTCTCTTTGTGGGTTTAGCTTTATGGGTTTAGTCATTACAGAGTTTTAAGGAGGCCCTTTTGATCCTATTGAGAGATGGGTGTTAATTGAAAGGTTCTTGGCTGTTTGCTTATTATTGACTTTTATTGTTTTTGTTGTTCTTTAAGGTTTTTTGGGAGGGTACACATGTTGTAAAAATGGAATTTTTAGGCTGTGTTTGGATCAAGGATTTGTGGAGGGAAAAGAAAAGGGGAGGTTTGTTTCACTTTCCCTTCATTTGTCCAATCCCTCCACAAGTCTCCCCTGAAATCCTTTTCCGAACACAGCCTTAAGAACCCTTCTGATTTCATTGGCTGCCATGTTGATCAGTGACACCTAGTGGGTTTTGAAGACCAGAAAGGTCCTGATAAGTTGTTTTGAATGCAATTGAAAACTTTGTAGTCTAGGAATGGGCTATGGGTGTCCCAAAGTGAACCAAATCAAATTGAGAAGAAATAACGAGTGATGAAATAAAGAACTCTATTGATACTATTGCCTTCTCTATTTAAATCCTCATTAATAATTACATATTGTAGGCTATGTAAAGTGTAGAACCTAAGTACCTCCTCAAGTATGATAACTTCATGGTAATTCTTATAAAGGCTAGAAAGATTATTATGCGAGTAAGGGTCTCTACAAGTGTTAAGGGACAAAGTTGGTGTGTCATCACAGTGTGGTCTAGACTTTGTGATGGTCCATGCTAGGAGCTTGGAACGTGGGAATCATGTGGATTGATGGCTAGGAGAAAAGGGATCGTCAAGGCATTGACAATGTATTTGCCTTGACATATATCAAGATGAATACATCGCTTTGTCTTGACCTTCTTGTTGTGAGTGGTGGACTTATCCCGAAATCTTCAGGATGATAAGGGCTTGTCATCTAATCACTTTTGGAGTCCTATCCTACTCAAAGTGGGAAACCTATCAAATGTGTGAAATTTCCTTTCATGGGCTCTTCAACTCCAATGGGATGGACTGGACATCCTTTTGTCGTTCGTGACATTTTTTGTTGAAAAAATTATGAAACAGAAATGCAAGCTAACATTCACTGTTGATGCTCGTGTACCAGAAACTTTTGAAATGCCTTTCAAACTCTGAAATAAATTGTAGAGCCTTTTTCTACTTTCGATTTGCCTCTCTCTGGCGCAAGCTTGGGATTTGAGTGGTTTCCTTCATATATTATTTATTAAAAAAGAAAAATAATAACTTGAAGGAATACAATTGTTTTCTGATGCCTTCATAGAGAATTGTTTGTTTGGTTCCAATTTGTTCTATCATTAATTCACCTTTTTTACTAGGTATCAATTAAATGTTAATTTGTATAGTATTTTTGAACAGCACTAGCAGCATCCTCTCCCACACGTTGTTAGGTGGGATTATGCTAACTTTACATAATTATCACTGGCAGTTGAAACAGTTATACAGAAAATTCTGATTGTAACCATATCCAACCACAATGTCATATTTTCATCGAGAAGTTATCGGCACTGTTTATATTTTACAGAGTTTTTTTTTTTTTTTTTTTTACTTCACAGTGTCTCTGCTCATTTTGTGACAGCAAGTGAGCCTGTAGCATTTTCCTCCAAGATGTTCTCATTGCCTGATTCTCAAAAAAGACCAAAGAATGGTTCCAAAAGGTGATTTGGTTATTATTGGCATATCTGTTGGTCTGGCTCTTGGCCTTTTTATAGCAGCCCTTGTGTTTTTTGGCATACGGTGGTACAAAAAACGTGCTCATCTGCGACAATGTGCAAATGACCGTAGTGCAACAACTCTTCCCCTGATACGCACAAATGGCCTAGGTACAAGCATTGATTATAGTGCTTCTATCTCAAATTCTATTGCAGACAAGGGATCAGATTTCCTTGCCAAAAATTCTCAGCCATCGTGGTGGAGTCACCGTAGTAAAGATCGGTTTGCTTCAGCATCTGGCATACCAAGATACTCTTTCAAGTATGTCATTTCCTACACTTCTATTCTTTTTGGACGGTATATTGGACTCTAATTATTTATTGCACTTGTAAAATCTTCTTCCTTTCCTTGATAGTTCCTTGGACATTCTAGATGTTAGGACAGATTTGACAAATTTTACTTGCTCACTTGAGAACTAAAATATAGAAAAAGGCCAAATATATATATGCGATGAATAGGAGAAGAAAGGAGAGGGAAACACAATGGCGACAACCTTTTCTCAACTCAATAGCTCATTAATTCCAAAACTAAATATTACAATGTCAAAAGCCTAATATATATAGGCCACAAAACCCTAATTTAATTAGGATCTAGCCTAATATCTAACTAAATAATAATAATAATAATAAACTAGTAATGTGACCAAAAAGTATTCAGACCCACAAGCTTCACCTTGGGTTTCCAAATCTAGTAATGGGTTTCCAACCAGGCTAGGATTGAGCCATCAGTGTGATGATATGTAGCATCTGCAGTATTACCCTTTCACACCATTTGTTTGTTTTTATTGTTGGCTTTTACTTTTGTGAAAGTAATGACCGCCATTGACCAAAAGAAAGTAGGCAATAACTAGTTCTCTCAAGAGTCAAGAACCTATCTCTTAATTAGTATTTTGAGCTGAACAAGATTCTGGAAAGAATATCATGTATGATTTAGTTTGTGTTATTTTTCCATGTATCCTTTGGTTATGGTGTATTAACATCCTCTTAGTCTTTGTGCAATCCTAGATCATGTTGACTACTATATGGCTTTGATCACCCAACCCAACCCCCCCCCCCCCCCCAAAAAAAATAAAAAAATAAAAAAATAAAAAAAATAAAATTGTTGACTACTATGTGCTAACATGGCTGCAAGCTCTCAATTTTCTCATTTATTGGAAAATTGTTGTCCACTGTCCAGCAAGGTTCCCATTTCCATCATGATCGGTTAACTGTACTCAATGTTTATAGAGTTAATTCACATTTACATAAAATTTAGTTCAATGTTGATCTTTCATTCTATTTCGTAGTTATTCTCAAAATGGAAACTGGAAGGACATTGTTGATTTTGTTCCTCATACATTGGATCTCAAACTCGGAACAGGACTTCAAGATGACTCCTTAGATGTGAACCCTGCCATGGATGTGTTAGAGCCTAAACATAAGTAAAAATGTAAATAGTTTTTCTTCTTCTAAAAATCAGAAATGTATGATAAAGTTGAAATTGTCATTCTGGTACTACTCTCAGTTACCTTGGGCACCTTTGGTGTTTAACTGGAGACGTGCCTGCCACTTTGCTTTATGCTGTGACAAATTCACCTCAAAATGACTCCTCAACTCAAAACTAGTTTAACGTGTAGAATATCTTGTACTCATAGCTACATGGATGTGCATATATATAGATATACAAAGGGATGGCAGACATGAAAGCAATCAAGCTTAGTAGGAGACTTGAACCCAGTCCTAGTGAATAACACCCCTACAGACTTTACCAAGCTAATCATCTATTAATAGATGATCTACAGGAAGTTTATTGTTGTTTGTATAACTCTAGGTATGTATGCTATGTGTTCATCCCTGCTTCCACCTATTCACCTAAAATCAATTGTTGTTAGGGAGGGCTTCAGCTTTGTATTTAAACTTGTGTTCATGGCAGTTAGTCTGCATCACTTAAAAGGGTGGATTGCTTGGTCCCATAACCTAACATTATGAACTACAAAGAATGCTAAAGCCTTAATCTAATCCCTTGTGCGTTCCCAGGGACGTTCAGAAAGCTACACAAAACTTCACAACTATTTTGGGAGAGGGATCTTTTGGTCCAGTGTGTAAAGCTACTATGGCTACTGGTGAAGTAGTTGCCGTGAAGGTTCTTGCTTCTGATTCAAAACAGGGAGAGAAAGAGTTTCAAACAGAGGTAAGGGCTGAATTAAATCATGTTTACAAGGAAGCATAGCTCTTTACTTATAGATCCCTCCTGATATATCTTGCTAGTTGGGCAAGTGTAAGTATCATAAGCATATGATGCATTATTTTCTGGACATAAGTAAGTATGTGCTTACAAAGGTGTCAAGTTCATCATGCCCAAAGGTCGTCAAAATTATGTCTATGAAGGATATTTTTGAAAAAAATGTCCCACAAATTTGGAAAAGAGGAAATGAATGCATAATTAAGGATTCAATGAGCCACATCGAATGCCTTCTTTTGGGCCATCCATGACTCGCTCTAATCATTTTTCAGATTTGTAGTTGTTGTCTGATGATAGGTTTTAAAATGGCTACGTGATGTGCACTACTTTGAGTCAATTTATTGCGGCCCCGTCTTTTTGCAGGTATCTCTACTAGGTAGGCTGCATCACCGTAATCTGGTGAATTTGGTTGGATACTGTGTAGATAAAGGCCAACACATGTTAATTTATGAGTTCATGAGTAACGGAAGCCTGGCGAACCTTCTATATAGTAAGTCCGTGAGTCCCTTTTTATTTTTATTTTTATCATGAGATACATGATCACGTGTACCCATTTGTACTTTTGGAGATATGAGTTTATGGATGCATGTGGATGAACAAAAATCTTCTACTACTATAAACAGCGGCTTTATAGGGTATAAGCTAAAAAACAAAAATAGTGAATTATAGTTAGATTTAATTGTCATCTGATCTCTCTGATAATAAAGGGACTATTGTGGTGTTTTCTCTGATATAAAATCAAATAAAGGATTATCCTGCTGGATTTTCACTTAGGTCAAGAGGAGCTGGTATTGAGTTGGGAAGAACGGCTTCAAATAGCTCTTGATATTTCACATGGAATTGAGTATCTTCATGACGGGGTATGTTAGCTGGTCTAATGACTTTTTAACTGCGAATTATCATTTTTTACTTCTTTCTGTATAAAAATTTCTGGAACAGGCAGTCCCACCCGTCATACATAGGGATTTGAAGTCAGCGAACATATTGCTAGACAGATCGATGAGAGCCAAGGTAAGTCAAGGGGATGAAGATTTTATTTATTTATCTTATATTATTTATAAACCATTTCATAGTTGATAATATGAGAATGCATTATCAAAATTAAGATAAAAAGGAATTATTGCCAAGATTTGCTTGGCATGTCATGAACATTTTAAGTGGCACTATGTAGAACATTAATAACTATTCAATTTGATACAAAAGAAAGTCTGATATTATTTATATGAAAATCGAGACCTGGTTTCTTTGTGTTGATAATGGATATCTGCATATGCATGCTTGCAGGAATTATTGTTAATGGTAAGGTTTTCTTTACTTTTTAGGGTTGTTCACAGATTGGATGGTCTGGTTTTAAGATAGACATGGGACTAAACCCTGTTCCTTATGGTTCCAAACAATCTGGAACCAGAACCGAAGTGTAGACACCAGTTTGGTTCTACAACTTCAGGTAATTTTATTCTAGAAAATCCCAATTATCAAAAGAAGATCAATTAATTATAACATAACATAGAAACAACTAGAATTTAATTGATTGCCACAGAAATAATGGTTATATAATTTATAAATTTATCAGTGTGAAGGTTAGTGCATGTGATGGTTAAGTTAAAAAATCTAAACTCAATTTTTTCTTTCCACACTATATACTTTTTAGTTACTAAAATTAGTATAAGAATAGGGAACAGTTTGGTTTGGTTGTCTTTTGAGCCTTAATCCATGAACCAGATCATAGTCAATGGTCTCAATTATTTAGAACTGAAGCCAAACCATCTTCTAAAAAATCCAAACCAAATCATATGGTTTGGACCAGACCAGTTTACCGGTTCTACTGAGTTTTTTTATGCACCCCTAGTTATTCTCTCTATTTCTTCTGTTTATCTTGATTTTCACCTCCCATCTTATTAGGTTGCTGATTTTGGACTGTCGAAAGAAGAGGCCTTCGATGGCCACAAATCAGGCATTAAAGGAACATACGGCTACATAGATCCTGCTTACATATCCACAAACAAGTTCACGATGAAGAGTGACATATACAGTTTTGGCATTATCCTTTTTGAACTCATCACAGCCATCCACCCTCATCAAAACTTGATGGAATATGTCAATCTTGTAAGTCTTTTTCGCTCTTCATAGCAGAGTCGATCCTTCCAGTGAACTTTGAGTTTTCTATTGAAAAGTTTTATTATTGTTATTGTTGTTTCTAAGGCGGCTATGAGCCCAGATGGTGTGGATGAAATTCTTGACGAGCGACTTGTGGGAGAGTATAACATTGTAGAAGTGAGAGGCCTAGCTAGCATTGCCCACAAATGCTTGCACAAAACACCCAGAAGGCGGCCTTCGATTGGAGAAGTTTCGCAGGCCATATTGAAGATAAAACAGAGGCAACTTGCCAAAGAAGATACCATGTCTTTTGCAGGAGAAGATCTTTCACGTATGATAAGCCGGATAGAGCTTCAACAAGTGGAGCTGAGTAAGATGGCCAGCATAAAAATAACTGCATGACATTGTTTTTAATCTCGCTCAACCTTTACCTTTCCCCTTCGAGTACATGAAATATAGAGGAACGAATCATGTTTCACCACACACACACACACACACATTTGCTTCTTCAGGGCAATTGTTGTAACAGCCCCATCATAGGTCAGTCTGAGCCTGTTCTGGATCAGTACATTGTATGACTAGCAAATGTTAAATGTAAGCACCTCAGCAACACCATATACCCAGTCATGAATCCAATATCAACGGGAAAAAGTTTTTGTTTGTGATAGTGTAAATTTATTGCTACATGTGGTTGCTAGTTGGGACTTATTTCAAACAGATTCAATTGATTAAACATGTACCAAAATAATTGAACAGTGAATTGCAGCAAAATGAACAATCTGCAACCACCAAGTGTCATCAGTCTCAAGAGAATTGGATATATCATTCAAAGCAAACTCTCATGTTTTGCATAAATATAATATAAAATGTACATAAGAGTTTCCTGGCTTCCAGTCTTCCATCTCTTTGGATTTTATTCAACTGGCATGCTTTAGACAGTTAACACACACACACATCTATACTATATATTAAGTAAAAGGGAGTTTTTAACTTCAAGCCTTGTGGGAGCTCCAATCTCCCAATTTAAATTTCCTAATTTTTTTATTTTTTAAAAAAAAGCTTAGCATTTATTAACTTCTACCAACTCTCAAGTCTTACCTTTATAATAACACTTTAATGCATTAAGAACAAGTGTTAAAAAAACTTCTACCAACTCTCAAGTCTTACCTTTATAATAACACTTTAATGCATTAAGAACAAGTGTTAAAAAAATTCTTGAAATCCAACACATATGAATTCCTTGAAAAGTCCCAACACATATTTCTTAATTTTTTTATTTTTTTAAAAAAAAATTTAGCATTTATTAACTTCTACCAACTCTCAAGTCTTACCTTTATAATAACACTTTAATGCATTAAGAACAAGTGTTAAAAAAATTCTTGAAATCCAACACATGAATTCCTTGAAAAGTCCCAACACATATAATTATTATTCTTTATAATAACACTTTAATATATTAAGAACAAGTATTAAAAAAATTTCTTGAAAAGTCCAACACATATAATTATTATCAAAATATTAAACTTTAATATAATATAGTAATAAAAAAAAGACATTTAATTCTTTAAAAAGTCCAACACATATTATTATTATCAAAATAATAAACTTTAATATAATATAAAAAAGAAAAAAAAGAAGACATTTAAAAAATATATATTTAAAAATCACAATTCACATATATATAGATAATTGTAAACAAAATCCGTGCATAACACGGGTGATATACTAGTATATATATATATATATATATATGACAAAGGAGAACATAGTTCTCACCTCCATCACCTAATTACCAAAGATTTGATCATTCGACAAGATTTATATTTACAGAAAATCACTTCCAAACGCAACCCATCTTGGAAACCAAACCTATGAAACAAGCCTACCGCTACTGGCAATTTTGAGGTACCAGTGACTTGTAGTCTTATTCTTTCTATCTTTTTTTGGGGTTAATTCTTCTTCTGCTTTCCTTTCTTCACGTTTTGCACTCAAAACCGGCATGAAGTTCCAAGCCTCTGTCTCTGCCTCTGATTCACATTCCCTAGTTTACGATTAGTGAAAGCTGGGTACAGAAGCTTCTGAAAAATCTCAAGAAACAGTGACCACTCTCTTTCGTTCATATCTACCAGCTTCACAAAACTTGCGCCTGCAGGTGACTGCTCATTCACACTCCTGTTTCCAGATGACATACCAGGCAAATAACTGCCATTTGATGCTGCACCCTGATGTCGCCAACTCTGCTCACCAAGGCTAACATTTCTTAGGGACATGGAAAGCTTCGAAATTGCCGGTACCTGGCCCAAGGGTTTCTCGTCCCACTCACTCTCTGCCTCTTCTTCCCGCTCCTCCCCCTCAATGTTCTCCACCAGTTTAGAAAGCATGTTTTGACTATTACCACCTTCAAACCCAAAACAAAATGGTGGTTTAGCAGTCAATCCTACTTCTAAATTTTTTGTTAAATCCAATTCATCGACCTCCATATCAAATTGAAAGTCTTCCTGATGCACCAGCTTCTCAAAATACCATGCCTCACTATCCTCTAACAGCTTCCTTGCCTTGATGCATATGACCTCAAGCTCGCTCGGCTCTTCTTCATGACCTGGAAACTCCCTACTCATCATCTCACCAATCTCTGCAAGACACAGACCGAAAACCGCTGCTTCCTTGAGAAAAGTTGTGCAAAGAACCAAGACCCGTAGGCATGCCTCTCGAATCATTGGTAGCTCCATTCTTAGCATTTCAGAATCCCGAACAGGATCAAGATGGCCTATGTACTTGAGTTCATCCTCTGAGAAAGGAATTGATGCCTGTGGCCAATGGATCCATTCAAAGTACGGGTCCTCCAAGCTCTCTGGAAGGCAAAGGCCATGGTCAATAGGAATGAGCTCCACCTGACCAAACCTCCCCACCCCATCAAGCTTCTTGACCAGAAGATTTCCTGCGTGCCTGTCTGTATTTAAAATACGAACATCTAATATCCCAATCCTATGTACAGCAGCCACAGGGAAGCTAGAAGTCCCATGATCGCTAGCATCAAAATCATGAAGAATGAACCGCTGGAATGATGCGATCTTGCTGACCTGCATCATACTCTGATGCTTATCTGCATTTACTGCATCGTTGACATTAAAGATGGGGTGTGTAATCTTTACAAGGGCGGTGGGAGGCACATTGGCAAAATTATCATAATCAAGAAGGTAAGCGGCAACTTCTCTAAAACCTGTCTCCCCAACTCGCACGGATCGTTTCAGCCCTGGTTGACCAAGTGCTTTTCCTACAAAACCTTTTGGGTTGTTTGGGGCAAAAGGCTCCTCATCTGTTGGCTTCACAATAGCAACATTCTCACCATCGCAATTTCTGAAATAATAAGCACCTCCGAGCCCACTACGGACAGGGATTGGGTCAATGCCATTCTCTATTGCCTTAACTACATCCCGAACTAATTCTTTTGCCATGGAAAACTGACTTGAGCACCCTAATATCTCAACCAGACCACTCTGATCTCCTTGCTGAAGATCATTGCCAATAGGAGACAGACACGGGGTAGACGAGCTTCTGTGCAAGAAATTCCTAGCAAGAAGAAGTGGGCAGTCGTTTCCCACAGTGCTGAGGTCATTTTTTAACACCATATCCCCATATATCAATGAGCTCTCCTCAGTGGGGACATTCAGAGCAAGCTGCAATCTCTTTTTCACTGTTTGGGCATTGTCACTCCTGTCTAATTCGATTCCCAAAACACAACCAGTTTCAGTTTGAACAAAAACACGTCTTTTCCTGGGAGGTTTTCCTTCCATCCTCTTATTCCCAAGGTACTCACGACTCGGGGGTGTTTTGAAGGAAGCAACTGCCATCTGGGTTTGTCTAGGGCTATCCAAATCAGGACACGTGAAAGGAAGCGTAAAAGTGGAATATTTCAACGCCGGCAGGAGAGGCAGCGCCAGTAGAGAGGTTCTCTCTCAGGCAGATGCCAAACTCAATTGCTGGCACCAATTGAAAGAGACAGAAAAATGTTGCCCAAACAATCATAATCAACCCAGGGGATCAAATTGTCTAGTAATTCTCACATTGTAAAGGTATGATGAGGTAGAGAGTGGAACGTAGCAAAATTGCTAGACCCTGGAAGCCACCTGATAATGCTGATAATAAGAACTAACTAAGATCATTATTCAATACGAGAAACTGATTTACTGGAAAAATAATAATAATTTAAAATGGAGGAAAGAAAAAAGTTACAGATCTGAGTTTGAAGGCAAGTTTAGTGCTATAAACGAGATTCATCATTCGATTTGTGATTTAAAAACAATGGCCATGAACACAAGAAACATGCCACTTGGCCAATTCATCAATCTATATCTCTTAACCCTTGCAATCAATGGAACCAAATAACTTCCTCAAGACTAGAGTTTTCAATTTTATTTTATTTTTATTTTTGAAAATTTGGAAACTAGCTCCATAATAAACATCAAAAAATTATATTTTTGATTTGTCAAAAATAATTTCCTCCCCAAGAAAAGAGAAAACCAAATTAAAATAATGATTTTCTTTATTTATTTATTATTTTTTTCACCAAACTAATTTTTGAAAAAAAATCAGAAGCCAAGCATCCTTGGATCAAACTTAGATTAATGACAATAAAGTCATTTACTGAAGCAAACTCATGAAAAACAAAATTAATATCTAGACCCTAACTCTAAAGCAATTCACATAACATGATTGAGAAACAGGAATTCATTATGAATCAACCACATAATCTGCAAAACCAATACAAAAATAAAAATAATTCTGGGAACTGAGAGGGTAAAGTGAAGTAATTGACAGTTTGTTTAGATGATTCATTGTTCGAAATCGGAGGCAAGAATCGAACTCACCGGACATTGGAAGATCCGGCCGTGGCAAGGGCTGCCGCCGGCGAAGGCCGGGGATGGACGGTGGAGCGTCGAAGTCCCGATGGATCCAACGGCTGAGATTCGATTGGGGGTTTGCTTTTAGTTGTTCTCTAACTGTGATCGCGTGCGGAGTGGCGTATATATATATGTGTATGTGTCTCTCTCTCTCCCGCTTTCGGAGATTCTCTAACTTCCCGCGTGAGAAGCGGAAGGACAAAAAAATAAATGCAACTGAGTTAGGATCCAGTACAATGTGGGATACATGAAATTAATCAGACATCCAGATCTAGCCACGTGTTGTGATATGATCCGTAAAGTCCACCTGATGCTTTTGCTTCGCAGTGATTTCTGATTAAGAACTTGTACAGTGACACTGGGCAGGTGTATCAAGAATGTTATGATTGGTGAAAAGAATAGGAGCTTGGCAGTTCGTGATTGGTGGAAGGAAGGACATTTGTTTCCCTTGCACCACCTAATAATTTTTCATAGATAAACAGTGGTCTGATATCTAGCCACGTGTTGTGATGTGCACAGTTTGGGCCCACTGATGGTGATTTTTTACTCATGGTCTTACAATGCAACGTGGGGTATTTGGGAAGAGGTTAAAAAAATCCGTTTTTTTTTACTTTTTGACTTTTTTTTAATCAAAAAAAAGTTAATTTTTTTAGTTAAAAAATTTCAGTTTTTTTGTCAAAAAAAAGTCATCAAAATATCAAAAATTCAATTTTTTACCAACTTTATAAAGCACCACCATATAAATAGTATATTTTTAACAAAATAAATTTAATAAATATTAAGTTGAATTTTACTTTACAATTTAGTATATCTATTTCTATTTATTTATATTTATACCCTTACAAATTAAGATAATCACAATAGTTACTTTTATGGACCAATCTATTTTTTTCATAAATAATTTATGCTTTATAATCTGAAAAATAAATTATTCGAATTATCAAGTTTGGGCACAAATAGGTTCTATAAGTTTAAACAATACTATCAATGACTGGAGATAAATTGAACTTTTATGCAGGCACAACTAACTTTGAGGCGAAGCCCACAAAGCAACTATTTGGGCCTCTCAAAAATAATTTAAAAGAAGGCCCAAAACTATGTAACCTTTTGTACTACTCCATAAAATAAAATAAAAAATCTCACATAAAGCTATTATAAAAAAATAAAAAATAAAAAAATTGCTTATAAAAGGAACCAATCTTAATTTAAAAGGCCCACCAAATTAAAAAGAAAATTTTTAAAGGCACAAAATTGTGGAACTCAAATTTATATTTTAAAAACATTTGAGACTTGAACCAAACATTTGTTTTAGCCGTTGTTGGGATTTTTTGTTCTTTGCTTGTAGAAACATTTTGGACTTTGATCTTTTTCATTCCACGTATGTAATGGAGGATTTTTATTATATATTTAATGGCTATGAAATATACAAGTTCACTTTGTAGATTTACTTTCTAAACTCATTAATGTGCGAATGATTGATAGATGATTAGACAAGATATGATATAGAAATTTAGCTTAGATATTTTATTACATTGTTCTATCATTAGATTTGAAAAGTGAATTTAGTTTTTGAATTTATTAATTTAATTTGTGATGGTTGGGGGGATACATAATATTTTGATCATAATTGTTTTTTAATAAATAAAAGATAGTTAAATTTCGTTGAATCGACTTTGGTGTCCAAGAGTTTGAAGGCTTTTCTTTTTGAAAGTGCCAAGACTTGAAACTTTAACGTTGTATTTAAAAGATAAAGTTGTTACCATTATCAATCGAGGAAGGCTCGAATCCACCTATTTATTTGAATCACTAATAATTTGAACATGTCTGCTAGATTGGAATTCTAGAATAAAAGAGAATATATGACTTTTCCTATTCTAGTGTAAGTTCTTGCTTGGTATATATCATTTCACATTGAGTTGGTTTACCCCGTGCCTTAAGAAGATTGTTGCCACTCCTTCTCTGACTTGGAGAGGTTTGCAAGGTCTTAAATACAATACCCTTTCATCTACTTATAAAGAAAATCATAGTCACGCCTTTATATGACAGATTGAATAATAATAAGGTCAATTATAATTTAATTTCAATTAAGATTGACGTATCTTAAGTTTGAAAATTTTGATGACAGGCTAATTGCAAAAAATCTCAAAATTGGTCTATTCGAATTTTGCTGGATTTGAGGGATTCCAAGTTACAAGAATCTTAAGAATAACACACATATTATGCTATTTATTATTGATTTTATTTTTAGTTGAATTAGTTATAATTTACCCAAATAAAAAAGAACCGAAATATAAAATGGAGAAATTTCACCGATTGGGATAGCAGCCTATGAAGCGTCACTGAGCATGCGCACATTAGCATGGATAGTCACTAGGGCTTAAAATTTTTTGTTTTTATCCCCCAACGGAGAAATTAGGGACGGAGCACCGATCGCCGGTATCTATCTCCGATCACTACCAACACCTCCTCCATCTCTGTCTCTCTCTGTGATCATACAAGTTAGTTTCTCTCTCTCTATATATATATATACACGCTTGTATGTGTCTATTCTTGCTCTCATTGTTTTAATTATGAAGTTTGGTGCTTGAAAATTGCAGGAAATCGGGGTCGGAGCTCCGGCGAAATGGTGATAGGTGTGAAGAGTCACCACGAAGACGAAGAAGAGGATGATGAGGAACTCGTTCGGAGGACAACAGATGGCTGTTCCCAGAAAGGTTCGTCAAGGCTAATAGTTTTTATTTTTTATTTTCTACTGCGAATATTTGCAAATTTTCTGAATTTGGTGATGAACAGTAAAAGTAGATGGGAAGACCACTGATCAGAAGGCGAATTCGCTTCGCTCGAAGCATTCTGAGACAGAACAACGTAGGAGGAGCAAGATTAATGAGAGGCAAGTAAAAAAGTCTTTTCGTTTTTCTGGGTTATTGTGAGTTTACATGAATTTTTAGTTTGGTGTACCCAATGCTTTTGTTTCTGTAGAAATTGAATGATGAATGGCTTTTGTAAATTTCGAAGAGTATGGTTATGCTTCTTGATTTTGATTTTGATTTAAAAATATATATGTTGTTTGATGATGTTTGGGGTTCGAGCTCCTTTTTTTTAAATAACGGTTATAGGGGTGTTTTGGAAAAACTCAAAATGTGAGACATAAACATGTATTTTAGGAAAATTCAAAATGAGACATAAACACCATGAGAAGCTTTTACTTTATAATGGAAAATGTTTGAGGGTCACAATTTTTGTGGCCACAATGGCTCAAAACTGTCAAAACGACGTCGTTTTGCCAAAACGATGTCGTTTTGGCAGTTTTGAGCCATTGTGGCTACAAAAATTGTGACCCTTTAGCATTGTTGTAGTATATAGATTATACCTCAGAGCTGTGGCACACCGCACTTGGTGTTCCCTTTTTTGGAATTTTCGTTTTGGCAGTTTTGAGTCATTGTGGCTACAAAAATTGTGGCCCTCTAGCATTGTTGTAGTATATAGATTATACCTCAGAGCTGTGGCACACCGCACTTGGTGTTCCCTTTTTTGGAATTTTCTGAATGATTTGCAGATTGTGTTTGGGTTTGCTTGGCTGCTGGGAAAACCCATACTCGATTGATGGACTACGATTTCCCCTTTCCTCTCGAGGAAATTGTAACCCTAAAATATTGGAGAAGTTTCTGTTCCTCCCACACAAGATCTGGTAGCATAAAAGTTTTCATAATTTGGATTTTGATGGGTTTGGTGTTGATTGCTAGTGAGTGATTGGAAGAGAGGTAGTGATTTATGCGGCATGTGCATTATGTTTGATAGGTCTTTCATATCTCTGTCAGGAGGAGTTTTGTTTGGATGTGTGTAAATCTCTTTGTGGAGGTTGGTAACGGATTATGAGCTTGTGCTATTGTGTAATAGAGGCTTGAGAGGAGGTGCCTGTTCAAGTTTGAAAATATGGGGTTACCAATGGGTTTTTTTTTTAGGTAGGGTTCGGGATTGGTGTCAGCTTGTTGAGGATATTGGGACTGTTGGCTCCCTGTGTTTTATTATGGCAATGTAGCCAAAGCTTTTTAAAGAAGACTTGAGAATGTGGCATAGTGAGGAGTTTACACTCATAATATAACGTTAAACCCCCAACATCTTATATCTGTGCCCAACAATTGCCAGCTCCTACTGTAATCAACTCATTAAATTTAGTAGTGCTAAATATAAATTCATAAAGATACGGCACCAGTTGTACTATACGAAAGAAATATCATAAGGCAATATGTACGAGAAGCTATAAATCTTTGTTATAAAACATAATTTGATAACTGTATTGAGTCCACATTTAGTAGTTTAATAAGGAAACTTTTTTTTGTTTAATTTATGGTGATTCCAGGTGAGCTGGATCTCCATCACTTATTTGGATTCAAATCATGTTTCCTTACAATTTTGGTTTCCATGTTGGTACTTTGTTATTTCTACTAGTTTTTGTCTAGCAAGTGCCATTTTTATACTAGTGTTTTAACTATTGCATATTTCTTTATTTATAATAGAAGTCTGATGTTCCGGTCTTTTTGACTTATCACTTACTTAGAGGTTGCTAAGAACGATTTATAGTGGTCCTCACAATATACATGTTGGATTTACTTGGCTGGAATAGTGTGGACAATATACATGTTGGATTTACATCGGTATGGTAGAAAGGTGTTTGGTTGGAGTGTTGCATCAACAATGGTAGGATCACTGATGTTGATTTAGGTTGTGAGAGAAGCCACATTGGCACTTAATTCAATAGAAAGATCTTATATTGAGTTAGGTTAAATGTGATTTGTGTAGCAAACATCAAATGGTTTCTTAAGGCTTTTCTTAGTTGAGTAATTGATGCTCACAATCTGTTGATGAGGTAGTAGCAAAGCAGCTAAAAAATATTATCAAGTTTATACATGAATTTTGAATTAGGGAAGATGGCTTTATGTTTGACAATGTGTTGCAATGACAACCAATAAAGACAACTAAAGCACTTTATAAACATCTCTGTAGGTTGACTGTTGAAAAATTTGTACTTCTCCTAGTTAATCTTTTCTGTGCCAAAATTTGGTCCTTTTCTTCTTTTAATAATCAAAATATAACTTTGGCAAAGCATAACATATGCATGCAGTTATATTAATGAATGTAATGGAGTGATGCTTGCATCAACGGTGCTAGTCTTCAATTCCTAACACTCCCAGACACTCAACCTAGCCTACTAACCCATTATAACACAAAAGATCAATAAATGGAACCCAAGATTTGCCTCACTCTATTTTCCAAAGAATGATTGAATACTTCTTGCTCTTTTGTGCAATATCTGTGAACTTAGGTGTGCTTGGAGTTGATAAGTTTTTCATCTTGGATTCAGATTTCAGACTTTGAGGGATCTCATACCTCAAAATGATCAAAGGAGAGATAAAGCTTCATTTTTATTAGAGGTGCACAATTTCTTTGAATAGCTTGTATTGTATTTTTTATTGGGTTCAATTCACTTCGTTACAAAAATTGAGTTGAAGTGTGGTTATTTTATATGCACAGGTTATACAGTACATCCAATTTCTGCAGGAGAAGTTACAGCTATATGAAGGGCCATACCAAAGTTGGGGTCAGGAGCCCTCAAAGTTAATTCCCTGGGTAATACCATAACATGATATGTTTGTCTGCCTATTTAGATGTGTGTTATAATGTGGAACACTTGTATGCTTTGGCATGCCATCACTACTTTGTTTTTGTTTAGTGTTCTTGTAGTGTTTGGTGCTGTTAAAAGGAGCTTTAAGTTTTGATTGATGCGTTTTGCCTTAGCCTCGCCTTGAGGAGAGCCTCAATAACGCTTTTTCAAATTTTGAATATAGATAGGTGCCTCCCATCTTCATTATTTTAAGATATAAGTACTTTTGTGGCCATTGCTATGTACATTTAAGATGTCACATATTTTTATTATGCAGAATATTGACATTTAAGATATCCTACTACGACATCCCTTTTCTTATTTATAGGGTTATTTCTAGTGAACTAATTATTTAGGGTAACTACTTCTTGTTAAATGTAATCATAGAACCTTGATCATATTCTTCTGAATTTTATACATGTTTGGAATGCATTTCTATTGCTTGTCAACTGTATTATGGAGTACTTTTGAACCTTGTATGTTAGAGTCTATTATGTTGATATAGGTATTGTTTAGATCTTTCAAGGGATTTCACTCCCTCCTCATTCTAAGTTTGTATTTTTTGTATTTATCAAAAAAAAAATTGTATTGTTTGTCGTAATTATTTGAGCAAAAAGAATAATAAGGTAGGGCATTTATATTGTTTATCCTGTGTCAAAGGTGTTTTTGGTTGTAATAGGTTCTGTATTAATCTTGTTTTACTTTTCTCTGAAGGAAACTTAGAACTCGTCTCTCATGTGTTTGCAAACAGAGAAATAGTGGTGGTCCTGTAGAAAGTTTTATTGATCAATCTGAACTCACAAGGAATGGGTCTGGTCAGGAGGATAATATTGTTGTCACACCATCCATGCTCACTAATGCACATAACTCAGTAGAATCGGTTTTGGAGGTTGCTGCATACAAGGTAATGGATCATCCACCTTTGGCAGCAAACCAAGCAATTCCAACTCATATACCATTGCAGTCTAGTGTTCTTGGGGATGTGCCTACCCAACCTCATCAGGCATCCGTTTCTGATTCTGAGCACTTGGCTTCCCAGTCCCAATCCCAGTTTTGGCAGTCTAGACCATGTACAACTGAGAGTGCTGTTCCAAGCTATACTCATGAACAGGAGATGAAATTTGAAAGTGATGAAGCGAACATTTCAAATGCCTATTCTCAGGGGTGAGCATTTGCTTGAAGTTTCTTATGGTTCCTGTTAAAACAATTTATAAGTTTGGTTGTTAATATGTGAAATGAATATGTTATCCTCAAAACATGTATGCTGGGCTATGATTTGCAATTCCCTACTGATGCCTTAGGCATGACATATGCTTTTTTTCGTAAAAAAACTGATGTAGTGGACTTACCACCTTTTGATGATTGGTGATAGATGCAACTTAGTTTGTTCGTCTTTTTACATTTATAGCAAGTTTACTTGCCCTTGATTTTCTGTAGAAGCCATACCTTGGGTGCTTGCATTATTGTGATACTAGTTTGAAAATCTTTGGAAGTGGGTACATGTAAGCATCATTTGTTATAAAAATATGGTCCATGGATGTTAGTTAGCCTTCTTCTTCTTCTTCTTCTTCTTCTTCTTCTTTTTTATTTTATTTGTATTGTCTCCAGCAGTTATGATTCTCGTATTAACACCACTGGCTTTAGATATTGAGTCTTATATGACCTGGATGGCAACTTACTTATGTAGAAAATTGTTTGATTTGATTACTAGATCCACATTTTTTGAAGGAGATTAATGTGATCATTATATGTTTGTAGAAGGGGAGGATATTCTCTCTTCTCGATTTATGATATTCATTTCTTATTTAAGGCTAATGCAATGATGGTGGTTTGGATTATTTGGGCATGTAGTGCCCTATATGTTTTGGATGATATTCCTCTTGTTTATTATAGTAAGAATATATGACATTCTATCCCATTTGAGTACAGGAATTCCCTAGAACAATTTTTTTGCAAATATTCTTCTCATTTGCTGGAATCTTTTTGTTGAATAGGTTGTTGAATACATTGACTCGAGCGCTGCAATCTTCAGGAGTTGATTTGTCACAGGCAAGCATCTCAGTGCAACTTGATGTTGGAAAACGAGCAAATACTGCACTGACTGCTACATTGTTCAGTGTAAAGGTATCTCTAAAATCTTCTATTCATTTCCCCCTCTCTTTGTTTTTATTACTACCCAAGTCAAGCTGATTAGACATGAGAAGTCACTTATGCTTTGGCCATTTGTCTGCTTGGGAGAAAAATAAATGCATTTATTTATACATGTGTTTGTATTGATTTATATTTAGGCTCCATTTGTTTTGATGTAAACCTATTTTAGATCAGTAAATTTTTTCACACTTTGACCTCCCACCCACTTTATCTCGATCTTGCAGAACTCGGACCACTTTCCTGCTGGCCCATGACGCTCCATTGCTCCCTCTCTCACACATCGTATATGCCACAACCAAAGTTTTTGATTTGAAAGTCAAAAATAACTTACTGATTTGAAATCTGCAAGTTATTTTTCAGCCACTTGATACGAATATTTTACAGAAAAAATGTTCTCCCAACTTATTATGCAAACAAACACAGGAAAATGAGAAAAACATTTTATGGAAAAACAAATGGAGCCTTACTCTGATCAATAAATGCCATCACTTAAGGCTCAAAAGTGGTGCAATGGAATACAATCAAAGCATTTTATAATTTAGAGTAAGAATGCACACCAACACTTTAGTATATGTTTAGATTTTATTCAGTGACTTTTTTTAAAAAAAATAAAAATTGTTATTAATATTTTATTGTGCATACAGGATCATCAAAACCGAATCCCTGGCGGTCAATCAAGGGCTGTGTATGGGTTTGGGACAAGATGTGATGACTGTACTCAAGCTCCGAAAAGACTCAGGACGGAACGCATCTAGGATGGCATAGCACCCCCTTCCCCCCAACTCTCTTCTGCTATTTTCCCCCATTTCATTAATTTTCTACAAAAAAAAAAAAAGGGCAAAAAGAAAAAGAGAGTATGGGGATGTTTATGCCATGTCATGTGATGATCCACAGACAAATAATTGTACATGTTTATGTGCTTCAATTTTCACATATGCGTGAACTTTTCTTTTCCGAGATGAAGCTGTTACATATTATCTCTTCATTTTCTCTCGAGAGGCTTCCATGTGAACATTGAGAAGCTGGTTTTTGTTCCAAATCTGTTTTTCTCGAATGTTAACTTTCTTTCGCTCTTCATGAAATGTAAAATTACTGTGAGTGTATTACGTTTTACAATTCCCGAAATAGTGAATACCTTGGATCTCATTTCTAGGGATCATTTGGAACTCTTGTTCAAGAAGGTTGTGTTTATTTTTATACCCTCAAAACCAGCCAATTCATTTATTGGGATCTCAGTTTCTTCAATTTTGTTCTTCGGAAAACATCTGAGAACCCGGTTTTGATTTTGTTCAGGGTGCAGTATCAAATTACTTTTTTTTGTTAACATGGGTATCAAAATTACTTCGGAAATATTTCAGTGTTCAGTTTTGTTTCATCGAAAACACTTCACCAAGAATGGAGAATATGGTACCAGCTTGTGAATTTTGTGCGTAGCAAAAACATCAGCATGGCATCACTAAGATGTTTACAATCACACTTGGGAGTGACGTAGTCTGAAAGAGACTCTAAAACAATCATTATAAATTTTTCTAGTAATAGAAGCAAGGAATTGTGTGTTTTTTGATATGCATATATATATATATATATAAATATTGGGTGAGTGCTTTGAATTGTGATGAATCACAACACCATCACTTTGGGCACTGAAATTGTGGCCGCAGAAAGTCCCGATTGACGTGCGTTTGAGTGGTGCAATTCTACCATCAATTGAAGCCATATCCCCCCAAACCCATGTTCATAGAAGTTGGCTTCTTCTTGGGTCTTTATCTCACACACACACAAAATAATAATTAAATATTAAATATAAAAAATAAATAAATAATTAAGAACCTTTCTTAGATTGATTAGGGGTTCAGAATTGAAAATTATTCGGTGCACTTCATGGGATTGATATCACATATCAATTACTGAATGTCATATTTTTTACTGTCTCTCTAATTCTCAACCTAAAGTAGTAGACTCACTATCTCTATGAATCACAATTTTTTTAAGCACCACTTAGCCATATCCCAATAAGCATAGAATAACCTATCGTTCAATAGGGTCTATTCCACTTTTTGGTGGATTCATCTTATAATTTGCATCGTTCATTTTATAAAATTTGTTGGGTAAATCATCTATGAAAAAAAATTAAATTGATCAAATATCAATAGTTAATTATTAAGACAAATATGATCTGATTATATAGTTAAAAAAAATTCAATCAATTTAATTTTTTTTACATGATAATTTTCTCAATAAACCACACAAGATCACCGGTTCAAGTGGAAAAACACCTCATCTTTCTTGGATCACTAAACTGACTCCTCCTTGGATCAATCATCTCTGGTCTCCCCCTTTTCTTCTCTATCTCTGAAAAAATATATTTGAATGGAAGCCATGGAATTGCAATTGCAAAGACGTGTGTTTTGGTGAGTCGTCTGAATGATTAGTTGAATAGAATATAATATCATTTTGTTCTCAAGTACTAGGCATTATGTGCAATTATTTTAGAATCATATGATCATTATACCTACTTTTTATTTATTTATTTATTTTATGTGGATCATGGAGTTACGATGTACAATACAGAATCACATATACGAATTGTAAAAAAAAAAAAAAAAACATGGTACAGATCAGATTCCTAGAATTTGCTTCGAATGAAACTTAACATCGTTTGTTTCTGCCAAAATCAAACCAGCTGGAATTAGCCAAGTATATACATATACATATTATATATGACGATGATTTGGTAAGCAATTCAAGTGTTCTGCACATGCAATCTCTTCTCAGACATTGCATAGACTATATTACAAATCATTTGTACATATAAATCTAATGTTCAAGAATCAAACCATGCTAGGCACGTCCCACCTAGCAGTAGGAGCACCAAGATTGGGACATGTTGCAGTTTTGGTGCTCGAACTGCTCGGTCCAGTTCAAAACCTAGCTAGAGACGAGCCAAGTTCAATAATTTTTAGCATATCATGACATATTGCTTTTATACCACATTCAACATTCATAATCAGAACAAATACTCGCTTTAGCACGCAATCATGCAAAAACATGCACATAATTCGACAGAGACCAACATAACATCACAATATGTAAAATCTGAGAGGGACTAATCAATGAAAAACCCCTCATCCAGGGAAAAAAAAAATTCTATTTCCATTACTCTGTTTACTTTGTAATTGATCCAACATTTGCCAGTCTTTTTCTCTATACATAATCTCATTATTCAGTAAATATTGTGAAAACGCTTCTAAAAGTAAGCAATAAACAAAAAAAAAACACTTTAAAGTGTTCCCACAATCCAGTTCAATAAACATGACACAGTCGTTGTCCAATTCTAAACCTTGTGTAAATGACTACTAGACCATTGACTGTTAAGATATACACACTTGAGCAGTGTATGATCATGTAGTACTACTTCTCACCTAGTCATTCGAACTGTTGCAAACACTCGTGTGGATTCGCATAAAAATAATCTTCTTCTTTAGGCCTCTCTGAAATCACAACTCGTTTCTTTGGCCTTCCCATACGATCTTTGTGAGCTTCCTTCACAATGTAGGAAAATTCATCCCAGCTCAATAATCCATTATGGTGTTGATCTATCAAATCAACAAGAAGCTTCCTGTCTAATTGAATAGTCTTCTTGAACTCTAAATATCTGGAAGATATCGAAAAACACTATCTCAGATTAAATGAATCAATTTAATGAGAAAGATGAGAAAATGAAATAACACTAGCTATTTGTATATTGAAAATGAACAATAGGCATCCGGAATTCAGTTAATTAAATTGTCCCCAACCTCACCAAAGACAACATAGTTTAGATCATGGTTGTCAAATCGTGAATTGTTTTGCTTAAATAGAGAATCCTGATTCATAGCAAATTGTTTCATGCATTACACAAACAGATTTGAATGATAGTGAATCGTAGTGCATCATATGGTTTACTCAATTTAAGATCCAAGAGCACGAATCAAATCGAGAATTGTAAGATTCTAACAGCCATGGTTTAGATATATTCTATGGGAACAAAAAGTGCAGGATTGATGGATGTAGCTATAATCTAAAATTTTTAATTTCTTTTGCTCATGCAAAAGAGAGAGAATCAAGTGTGGGGGGGGGTGGGGGGGGGGGGAGGGGGGGAAGAGGAAATACCTGTTTGGAAAATAATAATACGTGATAAAAGGAACAAAATATTAGCAGCAATATGATACCTGCGATGGCCTTCTACAACTTTAGCCATATTCCCATCATATGTTGGAACAAATATATCACTCTCCAATGATACAAGATAATCAAGTGCTGCCATCTGGGATGAGTGGTTCTTGAAAAACTGCAACTCTGAGGGTCCCAGTAAGGTCTCCTTTTTCACCTGTTTCCATAAAACCATGGTAAATTGGGCTAAAAGCTTTCCAAGAAAATTGTGGAAAGGTAACAGCTGATTCCATCTACTAACCACATTTGAAAATGAAGCTCTCAAACTTGCCAATCTCCTTTCTCCACCATAAATTTCTCCAGCAGCAATGTAAATTCGAACATTAGAATCAATACCCAGTGCTCTTAATGTCAAAGAGGTTTCCTCAGGTGTCAAAGGACACAAACCTTCTTTCCGTCTGAGGTTAGAATCAATAATTTTTTCCTTCCACCATGGGTAAGCGTATCTAATGATTGTGTGATTTGCAATAGTCAATAAGACATTGACCGATGAAACACAAGCTTCTGCACAAACTATTTTCTTTATCAAATTAACGAAATATTACCTCATGTTTGTCAATTCGTCAACCTCATCATCTCTGCAACCATGAGTGCAGCCAGAGAAAGCCAACATATCCATTTCATATCTGAGATGGAGTACAAGAAAAGAGCCATTCTCTCTTAGAATCCTGACAATCCTTCTACCCAATTCCTCTATCTGGGAAGTGAATCTCAGAGCGCTGTAATTTACTCTACACCGCAACTTCTGAATCTCTAATGGGAGCCCATTATTAGCGAGTCGAGCATCGGTTTTATTCAAATGCACAACCTTATACTTTTTCACTAGACGAAGAATCTAAAACAAACATTTCAAAAGTCAATCACACCATTATGTACATTTCAAAAGTCAATCACACCATTATGTACATTTCAAAAGTCAATCACACACACCATTATGTGTGGAAGTTGTAACAATGAAGGGAATTGAATCAAGAAAACTAACTTGATGATGATAGTAGGAAATGTCAGACCAACTAACAGGTGGCAATGAGTAGTACATTCCTAGCTTAACTCTCATCTTGAGCCTTGGTGGTAGCTCTTTCAATATCCTAACCTCATCCCTCAAGGATTTAATAAAATGGTCAACGTCAAATATGTCCTGGAACTCACTACCACGTTAAAAAAAAATTCTTTAACAGCTGTGAAGAACAATCAGAATTTAGAAAGCACACAGAATGAGATATCCATGCTGCTATTTCAAGTTCAAGAAGTAAATATGGAGAAAGTAACTACGCCAACCTCGGATCGTTCCAAAAGGAGGTTTTATCAAGCTCTGGGACAATAAGGGTAACATTTAGATATCTGGCTATAGCAACCATGTCACATATCTGAAGATAAGATGCAGAAGTTAGTGCAAAAAAACAGGTGAGAAGAGAAAATAAATGTGTAATGGCATCAAATATGACAAAGATAACTGCCAACTTACAGCTGCTCGCATTTGGTTAAGTCCCCCATTGCAAGAAACCATAAGATAGCCGTTATTCTTATAAATTCCTGCAAAAAAGATATATGATACCAATGGACAGCTTAGAAAAGAATAGAACCAATTACAGCTTAAAAAGAGAAGAACTGAAAAAAAAATCAAACACATGCATGCATCAAGTCAATTTCTTTTAGCTAATTAAAGAAATTGGTTCTCATTAGAAAAAACGAGCTAGGAAACAATCCATAAAGAGTAGCAGTATTCTACAAGGTAATAAAATTTTCATAAAAATTGCATCCTTGTGCACAAAGGAAGCCAACACTGCAAGAGAACCAACAGAAATTAAATCCAAAAACAAGAAAAAGCAATGGAAATGGAGTGAGTAACAAAAATTCCAAGAAAGCAAAATTAAGCTCTAAGATACCAATTGCATTCCTATGATTTCCCAAAACCAAACACTGCAAACGTACAGATTCTATCTAACAGATAATTGATATGTATTGTATGCAAAATTAATGACAAGTATTGCTCACAAGACTAAGTACTCTAATCTGAAAAGATCAAAAGACAACAAAGACAAAGTTTACAAGCCTTGTAACTCACTTTTTGGTGGAAGATGGACTGGGGGTGGCACAAAATCCAATTTGTCGTCGGAAGACATTTCTGAAGGACTAAAACATGAAGGAAAACCCTTCAACAAAGTCGGCCCCGAAATATCATCCCATCTCACTAAATAAAGAGCAATAGTCCACAACAATAGCATCTTCATTCCCCAAATAATCAAAAGCTTCATTGTAGCCCGAGAAACCATCAATTTCGACTTGGCTACCTTGAATTCACCCAAAAACTTCATGCCCATCTTGAGCTTTCCCTCCCTCTCTTCCCTACCATCACAATGCTCTAATCTACGCATTGTCACACCAATCAATTTAGTCTCAAATTCCAAGAAATCAAAACCCTTGAATTCAATGGTGAATTTGACACAGAAGACAATGATAAACTAAACTAAATAGACTCACAAATATGTTAGTATTTGATATACTAGTAACTACTCTGTGAGTTTAATGCTGATCCAAAAAATTAAATGCTTTTTATCTTTTACGCAAAATAAGAAGAATCTCTAAAACTAATTACCATACACAAATGGCATTGAAAACAGTAATTAATATATATCCACAAAAGGACTAAAATAATCAAACACAACCCACAAAAAATCAAAACGCATGAATTTCAATTACACCCACCACAATGCTTAGTAAATCTTTTGAGACAACAAAAGAAAGAAATCCCAGTTCTCTCGCGCACAATAAACCAAAGTAAATGATTTTCTCTCACTCCAAACAGATTTCTCTCTCTGCCTCTCTCTGTCTCTCTCTATACTTTTGCTAGAAAAAACTTCGACATTGTTTCACCCATTAACAGTACTCAAAAGCTGCTCAAACCCTTTGGTTTTCAGACCAGATTCCGGCGAATGTCGCCGGAAAAAAGGTGCGAAGTCGCCGGAAAAAGCAGACGAGTGAAAAGTCGTGCTTTAATGGGTTAATATATAGATAGAGATTAGAAGGAGAAAGTGAAAGAGGAGGAATTATCCTCTGGAATTTCAATTAAGTGTTTTTTTTGAGTTAAAATACTTAGGCCCTGTTTGGTACAGCTTAATTTTAGCTTATTTCAGCTTTCAGCTTAATTTAAGCTATTTTGATGTGTTTGGTTTAGCTTATAGCTTATAGCTTATAGCTTTGTGGAAGTCAGAAAACAGCTTATTCTTTAAATGGGGCAGGAGATGCTTTAAGAATAAGCTGGAAATCAGCTTAAGCTGAAAGTTATAAGCTATAAGCTGTTTAGGCATAAGCTATAAGCACTTTCCTACAGCTCTACCAAACAGGGCCTTACAAAAAGATAAAAGTTAAAAACTAATAACATAGAATTTTATATTTAAATTATGTTTTTTTTTCATAAAAAATTAAAAAATTCATTATAAACTAGACTTTTAACGATAAATTAAAATAATAAAAAAATTTAAAAAAGTCAAACGTAAATTCACTTGCGCGTTCCAATTCTATTGCCTGTTAATATATAAGAAAAGTATATAAGAAAATAATTAATATTATATAATTAATAGAATTATAAGACCATATATGATATACGGGACGAGTGTGTGATAATTTTTGTAGAGAGAGAAAAAAAAAAATAAAGCAGATTTGCCTGTAATTACGGCGTCGGTGTTGCATCATTTTTCATTTTAACCGTGTCGAATATTTACCACATATAAGATTCTTGCTCATATTAGTAACCATTTTTTATTATAATTTTGTATTCTATTCTTATCTTGATTGAAAATTTAGCTAAATATTTCTATTCAACTTTGAGTAGTAGGAGAGATTTATAATTATTTTTTTTAATATTAGATAAGATCACTCACATCCTTTATTTCAATTTTATTTTTTAAAAAAGTGTCAATTTTATCCTCACTCTTCTCTTTTATCTCTCTACTAGGAAGAGTTAGATTGGATTTTTTTGACTATTTTAGCCACAAAAGATAAAATAGACTATTTTAGTCACAAAAAATAAAACATCACATTCAACCCATAATCATTACATTATTCTTTTAAAAAAAAGCCAAAAAACTAAAAAGTCAAAAAGTCTTTTCCAAACCAAGCTTTTTAGCCCAGACTAAAATAGCCCAAAAAATTAAAAAATTAAAAAGTCAACCCACTTCCCAAACTAACCCTAAGTGACTCATCTTATTTTACATATTTGGGTCTCTCTCTTCTCTCTCTCATCTATTTCTTTGATCTCTCTCTTCTTAGAACTCAAATCCACCACCATCTCCTAATTTTAATAATAATACCTAAGGTCTTAAATTTTTTTTTAAAAAATGGGTGAAATTTTTTTTGGATAAGAATGTAATTAATAAAATTGTTTGGTAAGAAATATGAATTATTGTTTTAAAAAATATATTTTTTTTCATTTTTATCTATCGTCGATATGGACAGATAGGTAAATTAAGTAGACAAATAGATGATACGTGGACAAATAGAGAATGACACATGGACATATAAGTGGATAGATATATAGATAGATAGGGGTAATTTATTGTCCCAAAAGTATTGAAATTGAATTTATGGCCTAGTGTTCTAAATTTTAATTGGTCCAGCTTGTCGATCAAGGCTGGACCCGTCCAGTCCGGCCCATGGGGTCCATTTTTTGGGTCCGTTTTGATAATATGAATCGTTCAATGTGTAGAACTTGTCGAATATTATATGCCTATAAAAAATCACGTTAATCGGATATCAATAGCTATGTGATCAAATCAGTTTTGTATAAAAAAAATGGACGGTGAAAAAATTAACGATTGATAAAAAACTGTTTTGTTCACATAGCTATCGATATCCGATCAACGTGATTTTTCACAAGCATATAGTACTCAACGAGTTTTACACATTAAACGATTCAGACTATCAAAACGAAACCCGTAGTGAGCCTCACAAACCCAACAACACGGTCCAGTCCGATCTTGGACCGGACCAAAGCCACTGCCATTTTAACCTATGTGGTTAGTCTGTTTCGTCAGAATCTCAGTACCTTACTAGGAGTCAGTGATTCGAATGTCTCTATTTACATGTCAATATTATTTCTTATATATTTATTGGGATCTCTCTCTCATTTTATGTGCTGTGTTTAATTGTCATTTTAATCCATAAAAATTTTGTAATATTATTTATGAATGAATCAAAAAGGGGAAAAAAAATTCAAAATTTAGATAGAACTTTATTTTAGGAATATTAAAAAATAATTATATGAAATTATATTTCTCACCTACAAAATTAAACTTAAATTATATTTTATTCTTTTATATTTTAATTTTCACGCAAATTTTAACACTATTATCAAATTACTCTTACACAAGTCTATATATATTGCTTAGATTTTAATTAAAAATTTTAGATTTTGATAATTTTTTTAGTTTTTTTTCTCCATCTATATTGAACTGGTTGATTATTATAACATATCTATCATGTGTATGTGCTGTCTAATATTATGTAAAGCACACAACTCACTAATATGAATAATTTCATAGATTATCAAAATATCCACAATGACATTATACGTTTTCTAAATATTTATCTTACTTAACCGTTATTATAAAAATAAAAATAAAAAGTAAATTTATTAAATCAATACTCCACTCTTACCCACAATTGAACTTCTAGTTACCATTGAAAATAAGAGGTCATGTAAAAGTTGAAAAAGTGAAAAACATACCACATATTTTTCCAACCAAAAAGACAAAATAAATCCAATCTACAAAAATAAAAATAAAAAAGGAAAAACAAACAAACAAAAACAAAAATCAAAACAAAAATAAAAATGTTTTTTCTTTACTGTGGTTAAAAACAAAACAAAAAAACACAGTGAATCGGATGACGTAGTTATGATGAGATTGGTACATGTGGCATGATGGTAGATGCGTTTCGTTGGTAAGCGGCACTTTGAAAGAAGCTAAAAAAAAAAAAAAGCAAACTTTTTAATTTTTTAATTTTTTTTAGTTAAAAAAAGTCAGTTTTTTTAACTAAAGAAACTAGTTTTTTTGTTAAAAAAATAACTAAAAAAAAAAAAAGTTAAAAAATCAACTTTTTAAAAATAACTAAAAGTTGAAACAATTTTTTGATTTTTTTTCAAAAAGATGTGTAAAAAATAAAGAAAAAAATAAAATTTTGACTTTTTGATATAAGTTATAAATTTTTTAATTTTTTTAATAAGTTTTTAACTTTTAAGATAAAACAAGCACTTGCCAAACAAGACCAATACATTTTTATTCAAATAATATACTTTTTAATATTTTCATATATTTTCAAAATACATTTGATATATTTCCTATTTCCTAACATTAACATGCCTAAGAAGCCCTTGTTAGTATTTCTCTTTGTTTTTTAAAAAATGTTATAAGTTCTAAATTTTCTACCAAATGAATGACTAAATATCTCACATAATTTTTTTATCATTCATTTAATAAAAAAATTTGATATTTCTAACATTATCCTCGATTTTTTGAGTTAGTTTAACTTTAATGTGGTTTAATTGCTGACTGGTATAAGAAATGTCAATAGTATTAAAGATGGAAAGTAAATGGCCTTTTTGGAAGTTTGTGAAAGTGGACCAGTAAGTATGGTATTTTATTTATTTTTATTTATTTATTTGGAAAATTTCAATATATTTTGTATTTAATTATTTGGTATAATTTAGGGAGTTTTTTTGATAAATCTATTTTCTAAGAGCTTTATTCCATCCAACCCATATTCTTTTTGACTATTCCATTAAGTCTAATTTGAGATAAGAAGACCAAAATATCCTTTTCATCTACTTATGTTCCATTTAGTTCACATTATTTTCTTATGTTTCAATAAGTCCTATGGGTGACATAATTACCAAAATACTCTTAATGTGAATGTTCACACCGTCAATGTAAATGTTCATATCGTCAATGTGTAAGGGTCCGGCCCATGTCGATCCTCGTGGGTGCCCGGAAAAATTCGAGCCTGGCCGGGCCTGCCCACAGGCCCAAAAAATAGGCCCAGCCCGGCCCGGTCCGTTGATAATATGAATATTCACATTGACAAGTTAACATTCACATTGATAGGAGTGTAAAATTGGCCTGTGGCCCGTGGGCGGCCCGAAACAGCCCGCTGCCCGGAGCGGGCCCGGGTAGGCCCGTTCACAATGTGAATATTCACATTGACATATTAACATTAACATTGACAATAGTGCAAAATTGGCCCGTGACCCGTGGGCAGCCCGAAGCCGGGGTCCTGGTCGGGCCCGACCCGGCCCGTTGACAATGTGAATATTCACATTGACATGTTAACATTCACATTGATAAGAGTATAAAATTGGCCAGTGGCCTATGGGCGGCCAAAAGCCCGTCCGCGGTCTGGGACGGGCCTGAGCTGCCCTGGACGGGCCCGGCCCGACCCGTTGATAATGTAAATATTCACATTGACATGTTAACATTCACATTGAAAAGAGTATAAAATTAGTCCGCGCCTCGTGGCTGCCCGAAACTAGCCCACCACGGCCCGTGAACGGCCCGGGGCGAGCCCAGCCCGGCCTGTTAACAATGTGAATATTCACATTGACATGTTAACATTCACATTGATAAGAGTGTAAAATTGACTCGCTCCCATGGGCGGCCCGAGACGAGCCCGGTCCGGCCCGTTGACAATGTGAATATTCACATTGACATATTAACATTCACATTGATAGAAGTGTAAAATTGGCCCGTGGCCCGTGGGCGGCCCGAAGCCCGTCCGCTGCCCAGGGCGGGCCCAGCCCGGCTCATTGACAATGTGAATATTCACATTGACATATTAACATTAACATTGATAAGAGTGTAAAATTGGCCCGTGACCCGTGGGCAGCCTGAAGTCCAGCCCTGGGCCGGGGCGTGCCCAACCCGTTGACAACATGAATATTCACATTGACATGGTAACATTCACATTGATAAGAGTGTAACATTAACCCGTGCCCCGTGGTTGTCCGAAACACGCCCACGGCCCGTG